CTCCACAAGCGCACCGACGCCCGGCCCAGCGTTACCTGGGGCAGCTCCAGGGCCCTCATCACTGCGGCGAAGCCGAACATGTTGCCCAGGTTGCTCTTGAGCTCGGCCGCCAGCTGGATGGTCTTGTGCAGGAGGGCGGCGCGTTCCTCCGTGTTCCCGGTGCAGCCCAGCAGGTCCACGGCCATCATGATGGACATGGTGTGGAACCTGCGGGGGAAGACATCCGCATCGCCAATGCAATCAGGAACACCAGCAACGAAGCCCCCCCACCCACCCAGCAGGAAGAAAGAGCCTCGCCTGACAGAGTTGAATCTGAAGAGAGGTCTCCCACCGGTAAGAACGACAAGTTCATGGCAGAAATCAACTGGAGCAGATGTTCGTTTTAGAACCAGTACCTGGGATCCATCCAAACTGACCTCATTTTTGGAGGAGGGAGGACAACACCAGAGTGCCCAGATGAAAATCCAAGAAAAGAGCAGGAGAATGTACAAACTCTGGAACTGAAACCGGGAAACTTGCAGCTAATAGGCCGTCACTCTAACAAGGTAGGAAGTGGTAGGAAAAGGCTATGACTATAGCATAGTAACTTAAGGCCCAAGCCTTAAGGGAGTTTTTCCCCTTGCATGTGTCTTTATTTATATCCCCCTCTTGCAGCCCCAAACCCTCTCACCTCTCCAGCAGGTCCAGTCTGAGCTGGTGTCCATGAGGAAGGGTCAACAGCTCCAGGCCGGAGCTCACTCCCATCATCCTCTGCGTCTCCTTAGTAACGTCCAGTATCCTAGCAACCTGCAGGCGAACCAGAGAGGGACAGCTGAACAGCTCTGTTCATGGCTCCTGAAATGAATTAATTCTTTTGGCCTTTATCAAATAATTATGGCAATAAATATCACCATGCATTCCCAGCCATTTATTGGATTAATCCCCAGTTCCTCACACCATTTTCTGCAGTTCAGATGTTAATTGAATTGGTCTCTTAATCTCCTGTTAGCTGTGCAGTGGGTATGAATCAAGTTCTCTGTTGCATGGCACTGGAGAGTTTTATGTTCATGATGCGTTTAAGGGCAGAGGTGGGTCAATCGTTCTTCATTAGTGAAAACAGAAACTTACTCAAGGAGCAGGGTTGATATCTTGAGCATGGGGCTGGATAATGGATGGGTGACACGCAACAGTATTTGCAAAATGAATAAAAAAGCAAGGGCTCCTGGATTGGAACATTGTTTCTGCAATGTAGGAAAGGGACCATTCCCCCAAGTGGGAAGAAGGCCAAGAGGTACAGTGGACTAATTGACTTTGATCTCCAGAGGTGATGATCTCTTTGCCCTTCTTCGGTTAGCAGTGGGGGGAATAACTGCTGGCCTCATCTTACCTTGAGCTGAATTCTATTCCTGAATTCAAAGCAAGCAACACATGATTTAAACACTCCCCCTCCAAAAATGATAATAATAATAAT